CCAGTATTTTAGCGATTTTTCCACTACGCGCAGCAATAATTATATTTTCCATTTTCATAGCAGTGAGTACCATAATCTCTTGCCCGATAATTATTTCACTTCCTTCCTGGACCTTAATGGCAATAATTTGACCCGCTAGTGGCGCTTGTAACTCCCCTTGTTCTTCGCAAGTAAATTTATTAACCATCAGGGCTTCTAGTTCAGATAGCCTTGTAGAGCGCACATATGTCGTAACGTTAATACCTGAACGCGATAATACGTACCCTGTAGTAATATTTTCAATCTTTACATTAGCTTTTCTACCATTTACTACCGCAGAAAAAAGCAATTACTGCGTATATATATTCGGTCATGCTCCTGTCTTATATTATATCCATCCTCTACTGACTTAATGAGAACTGGGAATAAGTTGTCATCAATTGAAACAACCCATCTGGTACCAATTTTATTCACTTGATCAATTGTTTGCCCCGCAATTAATGAAGCTCGTTTCTGCTCAGTAATGTAAATAAAAATTGTAGTAGCTAAAAATATTTTGGTAATATCGGAAGTAAGAGTGGCTCCAGAAAAACCATGAGGGTATTCCTCTTCTATAAAAGCTGTATTAATATCTCCCACTATAAAACGTGGATTAGATATTAAAGCTTCTAAAAAACTAATATTATGAGAAATGCCTCGGATGATATAAGAACTTAAAGAAGATCGCATCACCTCTATTGCTTGTTCTCTCGATTCTCCATAAGTGCATAATTTTGCAATCATAGGATCGTAAAACATGCTTACCTCCCCGCCAAGCCCTAAGCCTGTATCTACCCGGATATTTGCATTTTTTGGCGGCTCAGAATATTCAGTAATTCTACCACTAGATGGCAAAAATCCGCGCATTGGGTTTTCTGCACAAATTCTAGCTTCAAACGCATGGCCCTTTATCTGAATGTCTTCTTGTGAAAATGACAATTTCTCTCCGGCAGCGATTTTTATCATTTCTTCTACTATATCAATGCCTGTAACCATTTCAGTTACAGGGTGTTCAACTTGTAATCTAGTATTCATCTCAAGAAAATAAAAATTTTT